GTATTCTGATGGCGGCTACAGCTGCCTGCAGTGTTCATTGTATTCTGATGGCGGCTACAGCTGCCTGCAGTGTTCATTGTATTCTGATGGCGGCTATAGCTGCCTGCAGTGATCATTGTATTCTGATGGCGGCTATAGCTGCCTGCAGTGATCATTGTATTCTGATGGCGGCTATAGCTGCCTGCAGTGATCAGTGTAGTCTGATGGTGGCTATAGCTGCCTGCAGTGATCATTGTATTCTGATGGCGGCTACAGCTGCCTGCAGTGTTCATTGTATTCTGATGGCGGCTATAGCTGCCTGCAGTGATCATTGTATTCTGATGGCGGCTATAGCTGCCTGCAGTGATCATTGTATTCTGATGGCGGCTATAGCTGCCTGCAGTGATCATTGTAGTCTGATGGTGGCTATAGCTGCCTGCAGTGATCATTGTATTCTGATGGCGGCTATAGCTGCCTGCAGTGATCATTGTATTCTGACGGCGGCTATATCTAGCTGCAGTAATCATTGTATTCTAACAGAGGCTATAGCTGCCTGCAGTGATCACTGTACTCTGGCCTATAGGAAAGCGGGAGGGATTTCCTCATCAATGCTGAATGTGTTGATGGAGGAATCAAGCAATTTTCCTTCCTTCCTTCAACCTATGGTTAAGCAAGGAAAATTGCATAATGTATGGCCTACCAAACTCTTCCTCCTCTGTTGTTAGTACAGCGCTTGTGATTAAAGGAGACATCATTGGATGATCAGATCATGCATGTATTTCCAACCACACTATGGCAAGCTTTAGAGTACAGGTATCCATAAACACTAGAGGGTGGTTGGCATGTAGGCATGAAGTGTAAGTGTCAGACAATCGAGACTGCTGGCAGGCAAGTATGTTTGCTATTACCTTAGCCAATAGAGTCTACAACATGAGAAAAAGGGCTAGATTGGGTAAGTATAAGGAACTGTACTCACCAGATTGTCTCTACTGTGTGATAACCACATAAACGTGTCTTGCAGATACTGATTTCCAAACCCCATGATTCTGTTTACAGGGTGTGTAGCAATTCCAGCAACTTGTTTTGTAAAGTGAATGGAGAATGCAAACTTCACATCCTCAGTTGTTTCAGCCGAGTCGCTCTTTTTCATCTTTTTATCAACATAGACATCTGCAAGTTGCTTGAAGGAATTGTAGGAGATGTTCCGAAAGAAGTTGCTGAGGTTGGGATCTTCCTTTATCTAGACAGGGGATAAGATTTAAACATATCTAAATGATTTAATCTCTGGTAGAAATTATCCATTTAATTTGTGTCTTTCACTGTTTTGTATACGTATATATAATATATATATATATATATATATATATATATATAATGCCATCAACCGCCCCATTTTAACACCTTTATGTGTAACAATTTACATAGTCTGAAATGTTCATAAAACGTTTCAGAAAAGTAGACTAGTAAACTAGATTACTGTATTCATAATTGTTCATAGTATACCTTTCTGTCATAGGCATCGCCTTCTTTTTGAAGTATGGACACAATTTGCTTTATCACATCATCTAAAAAGAACAAAATGGGTTAGTAAACTAACTGCTACACTGAAAATCATAAAAGCCCTAATAAGCAGATATTGACATGAAATAGACATATTGCAACAAACATAAAAGACCCACCGATCTTGCTGTGCTGTTATTGGCAAATACATTGCACAGTTAAAAGCGGTATTACACGCAAAACCAAAAATGTAATATATTGCAACTTACCAATCATTACATGTGGAGGCTGCATTAGTTTTCTTTTTTTAGGCCAGTGATATGGCCAGTAACACAACTCCTGTATTAAAGTGCCCCCACTCTGGATGAAGGGGCAAGAGAAACACCTTTGACAGCAGCATTGTCAGTCTGGGAGGAAGTGATAGATGCACTAGCAGATTTAAGTACACTAACAAATGTAAACCAAACTTTTGCTAATATTTTGTAAGCAGTTACAGAAAATAGTTTTTTTTTTCCTTTTGGGATAAAGGTTTTCCATATAAACTGAGCATTGTAAAGCACCCCTTCTAGTGTTAAATGGTTTGTAACACCCCCGTAACTGCTAGATTCTGTTGGAGAGCTTGTTCTTTGGGAAAAGAAACAGACTTACTGGCTGGATCACCAGATGACAATAGAAAAAAAGAAAATGAATGCAACCATCGCATATAAGAAATGGTAAGCTGCAATATAGTAAATGTTTGCCTTTGGGTTTAACACCACTTTAACATATTTAAGGATTTTACAATGTATGTACAATAAATAACACAGAAAGCAAAATGGTTTATTAAAAAACAGCACATTTAGCCTGGGTTCACACTGATGCGGTGCAAAATTTGCATCGGTTTCTGTACGATTTCCACACCGCATCAGAATCGCACCCCGTTCACACGAACCATTGCGGGTGTGTACTTTAACAACACCCTGAAATCAGTTTGCAAAACGAGGTGCGATGTGCAAAATCGGATCACATAAGTATGAACACCCATGCGATCTGATTCTAGTGCGGACTGAAAAAAGGGTCCTGCACCTTTTTTGGTGGAAATGTGGTGCGATTTGAGCCATACAAAGTGTATGGCTCCAATCGCACCGCAGATAATTTGCATGTGATTTCCACAGGAATGCGGTGCGGTTCCTGTGCGAATCGTATGCGGTATGTTGCACCACACATATGTGAACCCAGGCTTACAGTATGAAAGAAATCATACACAACCTATGTGAAGATAGAATAAATGTCAAATCCACATTTTTCAGTAACATATTTTCCATTCTAGGTTAAGCTGAAGGTTTTCGATGTGGTATGTGAAGACATTCCTGTTATGCTGTTATTTTAGTTTACTATGGTGATAGTAACAACGGTAAGTCTTACATGCCTGGCATTGTCATTGTCAGTCTGACAGTGGAAAATATTGACAAAAGAATGGTGAGTGAAGAAATGTCAATAGATCATTTGGAATATTCATCTATTCAGCTGATAAATTAAGATGAACCTACAGAAGGGGTATTTGCTCTGTATCAGTTCTATTCCTGCATTGCAATGCTAGACTATCTTTATTATTCATTCTTGGCAAGGCATGATAAAAGCTTGTTGGCAAAGCCATGTGTACTCTTCAGACCCCATTCACACTTGAGAGACACAACAAATATTTTGTGCGTTTTTTTTTTTTTGCACATTTTTTGCGCGCCACTGTAGGGCAGCCTATTCACAAAGCCACTGCACAGAGCAGGTAAGTATAACATGTTTATTCTTTTTTTTAAAACATACCCTTTAGAATCCCTTTAAACCTGAACTTCAAGCAAACAGCTAAATGCATTATTTAAATGAATATATAAGAGCTCTTTTACCTGAGAAAGGATTTGTGTTTCTTTCCACCAAGTTCTGAGAGTTACACAACCCTACCAGACAACATAGCCAGCCAGCTGACATGACTTTTCTTTACTGCTGTTAAAGTGTTACTAAACCCAGGACCCTGTATTCACTATATCTGGTCTACTAGAGTACACAGAACATTGAAATGCAATTATTTTATTAAATATAAACTGCTAAATACCTTTTCTCACCAGCAGCTAGAGCAGTCTTGTAACTTCTATCAGTGTCCAGCAGAACACTGGTTAAAGCTCTTGTAGGAGGAGTTTTCATTCTCCCCTGATTGTCCTATGAGGCTGCAGGACCTGGCCCTCTGTCTGGACAGCACTGATTGGCCCTGTGCTGATTACATGCACTCTTCCAAGAAAATAAAACTCTCTAGCAATACACACCAAACTGAGTATGTGCAGCTTGCCCTCAGGTCTCTATCAGCAGATGGATAGGGGACTGTGGAAGAAGGGGAGGCTCAGAGAAAATAGGATCAAGCAGCCTTTTTACACAGTGCAGAGGATTAACCCCTTAGGGTCCACAGTGAGTATAACAAGCATGCTTTACTGCATATACAGACTGATTTTACTGTTTTGGGTTTAGTAACATTTTAAGCAACACAGGTGTCATCTCCCTGCCCCCAGCCTGTAAATGGCAAGTGAAGGAACAGTAAAAGACTGATCAAGTCACCTTCTACTGCTGTCAGCATGCTCCTTGCCATGCTCTCGAAAAATCACACATATTGACTTTTTTTTTCTCTCAGTCTGTACTGCACAGAGGATTATAAGAGGTGAAAATCATATCAAGTTCAGGTATTTACGTTATGTGCATTTAAAAACACAATTTTTGTGTTAGAAAACACCCCATTACTGAATTACTTGATGTTTTATATCTACCTAGAGTTCAATGGTCAAGTACTGACCAGGGGCGACTGACTATTTGGAAACTCGGGCACTGCCCGAGGGCCCGGGGTCAGTAGGAGGCCCCATGAGATGTCCCTGGTACCTTTTTCATAGACTTTTTTGAGTTTGGGCAAGGACACAGGGGCTTCATGATCCCCTATTGCCCGGGGGCCCCATGAGTTGTCAGTCGCCCCTGGTACTGACCATTATGTACAGAGTTCCAGTGTCTAGTATTTATTCCTAAATAAACAAGGCACTAATATACTAGTAATGGGAAAAGTGGATATGTGAGAATCAGTGTCAGCGTACCAATTCCCTTGGTTTCTCCATCATTTAGCTCTTCACCCAGGCTTGGCTTTCTAGTACTCTCAGTATCATTCACAAGCAGTTCGATCTCTGCAGACATTCGGTGGTAATAGCGGCCTTCATGCTTTTCTCCTGCATTTAAAAATATGTATAGGTGAAAAAGGTTTGAATCCAAGACCAAAGTCCTAAACTCTTCTCTAAACTATGTTAAAATCATCTCAAGAAGTTTTTTTTTTACCCTATAGTTAAATATACAGATGTAACTCGGTTTACCAACGCCTCGGTTTTTTTCGCAATACGAAGCAAGTTTCCCCAGGATGCATTGCGATTGGGAGGTTTATAGCGCCTGCCCCGTGACTTTAAAGTGCACTTTATAAAGAGTTTTGAACAGATAAGCCTTTTTTTTACTTTTTTCTAACCGCAGTCCGTAGTCTCTGGTCATCTCCTGTAGTATGTCTCTCGTCATCTCCCATAGCATGTCCGCAGTCTCTGGTCATCTCCTGTACTATGTCCGCAGTCTCTGGTCATCTCCTATAGCATGTCCGCAGTCTCTGGTCATCCCCTGTACTGTGTCTGCAGTCTCTGGTCATCTCCTGTACTGTGTCCGCAGTCTCTGGTCATCTCCTATAGCATGTCCGCAGTCTCTGGTCATCTCCTGTAGTATGTCCTCAGTCTCTGGTCATTTCCTATAGCATGTCCACAGTCTCTGGTCATCTCCTATAGTATGTCCGCGGTCTCTGGACATCTCCTGTACTATGTCTGCAGTCTCTGGTCATCTCCTGTAGCATGTCCGCAGTCTCTGGTCATCTCCCGTACTGTGTCCGCAGTCTCTGGTCATCTCCTGTACTGTGTCTACAGTCTCTGGTCATCTCCTGTACTATGTCCACAGTCTCTGGTCATCTCCTGTACTATGTCTGCAGTCTCTGGTCATCTCCTGTAGCATGCCCGCAGTCTCTGGTATTCCCTGTACTATGTCCGCAGTCTCTGGTCATCGCCTGTACTGTGTCCACAGTCTCTGGTCATCTCCTGTAGCATGTCCTCAGTCTCTGGTCATCTTCTGTAGCATGTCCACAGTCTCTGTCATCTCCTGTACTGTGTCCGCAGTCTCTGGTCATCTCCTGTAGCATGTCCGCAGTCTCTGGTCATCTCCTATAGTGTGTCTACAGTCTCTGGTCATCTCCTGTTCTATGTCCGCAGTCTCTGATCATCTTCTGTAGTATGTCCGCAGTCTCTGGTCATCTGTAGTATGTCCACAGTCTCTAGTCATCTCCTGTACTATCTCCGCAGTGTCTGGTCATCTGTAGTATGTCTGCAGTTTCTGGTCATCTCCTGTACTATGTCAGCAGTCTCTGATCATCTCCTGCACTATGTCTGCAGTCTCTGATCATCTCCTGTACTATGTCTGCAGTCTCTGGTCATCTCCTGTACTATGTCCGCAGTCTCTGGTCATCTCCTGTACTATGTCTGCAGTCTCTGGTCATCTCCTGTACTATGTCCACAGTCTCTGGTTCATCTCCTGTACTGTGTCCGCAGTCTCTCGTCATCTCCTGTACTATGTCTGCAGTCTCTGGTCATCTCCTGTACTGTGTCCGCAGTCTCTGGTCATCTCCTGTACTATGTCTGCAGTCTCTGTTAATTTTCTGTACTATGTCTGCAGTCCATTGGTTCAGAAATTTTTTTTTTCTTGTTTTCCTCCTCTAAAATCTAGGTGCGTCTTATGGTCAGGTGCGTTTTTAGGCAGCGAAAAATACGGTATATACATACATAAACATATATAGTTATAATTTATATCACTGTTTTTAACCCCCGCTGATGCTGATATTAGGAAGAAAGAAGCCTTCTTCCTCACATCACACCAGCTTCTCACCAAGATTCTCCAGCTCTAGGCTGGAGAATCTGGGATGGAGATGTTTTAAATAGATGGCCAGTGATATCTTCAGATATCACCTTCATAAACTGGCCATCTCTGTAAAAGTAATGACAGAAGGGTGTGTCCTGTTCATCAGCAGTGAAGAAAATGTTCTCCCGCTTCTCACCTCAGCTTCATAAACTGGCACACCTGAGAGATCAGCTGTGATCATCAGGATCTCGGCTTTTCATAAAGGGACACTTTAGTGGTTTAGCCCACCAATAACTTAAGCACCAATATTGGCTGAATGTAAGGCTACGTTCACACTAGCCTTGTGTGCAGGCGGCAGAGAGGCGTTTGGGAAGCATTTTTACCGCTTCCCAAACGCCTCTGCCAACTCTGCACATTACAGCACATGGTGCTGTTCTAACAGGAACGTTTGCGTCGCGTCGCGTTGCGTCGCGGCAAAACGGACGCCTCTGGTCGAGTCAGGAGGCTTTGAAGCCTCCTATTCTCGTCTAATGGTGCCGCTCCGCAAACGCCACGGCCGGCGTTTGCGGTGCGGTTGCGACACGGTTGCGGGGCGTTTGCGGAGCGTAACACCACTCAAATGCATTATAGGCGTTTGTGGGGCGTTATTAACGCTCGGCAAATGCCTAGCAACCGCCGCTAAACCGCGCATGCGGCGTTTGCGGAGCGTTTGCCGAGCATTAAAAACGCTCCGCAAACACCGGACCAACGCTTGCCAAACGCTATAGGGGCGTTTGGCAAGCGTTGGCAAAACAGCCTAGTGTGAACGAGCCCTAACATTTAATATAACTTCCTATAAGACTGATTTTCATGCCAGACATACCTATGTTCTTCCAGTCACGCAGTTTAGGATAACACAACCATACCTTGCATGCACTCACACAATTGTCCTGTTTCTGTTTAGACTTTTGTTAGGTGACTAATGACATACGTATAATACCTGAATCAATAAGGACTTACGTCGCTTAGTTGACGATAGCTTATTGATGCGTTTTAGTGGCAGGTAGTCAGGTCGTTTCAGCTTTGTTTCTTCTTCTGAAACATTCTTTTTCAAAGAAAGTGCCCTTCGAATGCTATTTTTTTTATTGCTGACTTTCCTTGAAGTCTGGACTTCATCTCAGGGGTGACAGAACTGACCACAGAGCAGTTGGTTCAGAAGGACTTTCTTTTTTTTACTAAATAGATGATTCAGTAAATTCCTAAACCATGACTTTTTGGCAGGTTTAATGTTGGCCATGCTGGCAGGCTGATGGTTCTGGACCGTCCCTTGAGATTCTGATGGCTTGTTCACATTATCGTCATCTTTCTTCTCCTGTAATTCTCCTTTAGTAACTACAGTATATTATCCCTCCTTTGTTTTCTGTGTTTAAACCTAGTGAGGTCGCTGACCGATCGCTGCACTCCATCATGTCTCTTTTCTCTCTTTCCCATGGTCCTCTTTGTTTCCCGATTGCTGAAACTCCTTTTTATATACGTTTCTAGCACCAGTTTAGCCTCTTGCTTGTTTAAAGAAGAAAATTTCCCTCTTTCTTTCCTTTCCAATTTAGGGCTGTTTATGTCTGTTTCCGCCATATTTTTCCTGTATTAAAATCAATATGGTTTAATATATTACTGTTATCTTACAATATTACATGGAAGCTCTATGCTGAACAACATCGAGGTAGAAGCACATATTTCTTAGATTATAATTTAGAGTACTGACATTAATTCACAGGAATTGCATGCAGATAAATACCACCACACACGCCACCTAGAAATACTTCTATAAATTAGGCTGGCTACAGATGACAAAGGTATTTATTCACATAAATGTTAGATTGTAAGCTCCACGAGCAGGGCCATCCTAATCCTCTTGTATTGAATTGTATCGTTGCTGTATTCTCTCCTGTTATATTGTAAAGCGCTGAGCAAACTGTTGGCGCTATATAAATCCTGTATAATAATAATAATAATAAATGACCACTGAGTGTTGGGCTAGGCTTAGGGTTACAACAAATTAGCATTGCATCCAATCGGGCTGAATAGTGGACAACAAATTAGCATTGCATCCAATCGGGCTGAATGGTTACAACAAATTAGCATTGCACCCAATCGGGCTGAATGTTACAACAAATTAGCATTGCATCTAATCAGGTTGAATGGTTACTACAAATTAGCATTGCACCCAATCGGGTTGAATGGTTACAACAAATTACCATTGCATCCAATCGGTTGAATGGTTACAACAAATTAGCTTTGCATCCAATTAGGTTGAATGGTTTACAACAAATTAGCACTGCATCCAACCGGCTGAATGGTTACAACAAATTAGCATTGCATCCAATCGGGCTGAATGGTCACAACAAATTAGCATTGCATCCAATCGGGTTGAATGGTTACTACAAATTAGCATTGCATCCCATCGGGCTGAATGGCTACTACAACTTAGCATTGCATCCAATCGGGTTGAATGGTTACAACAAATTAGCATTGCATCCAGTCGGATTGAATAGTTACAACAAATTAACATTGCATCCAATGGTGTTGAATGGTTACAACAAATTAGCATTGCATCCAATTGGGCTGAATGGTCACAACAAATTAGCATTGCATCCAATCGGGCTGAATGGTCACAACAAATTAGCATTGTATTCAGTGGGGTTGATCTACTAAAGGCATATAGGTTTTTCACTTTGCAAGGGAATTTGCCCCAGATCTTAATATCTTCCCACTGGCTATAATCATATGCATCCTCTTGGCAGATGGGCTTTAACGCCGAGCTGCTGCATTTATGCGTCCAAAGGTACTGTTTACTGTGCTGTGATCACACTCACTGCACTTTCTTGGATACACAGAATATAACTGGATACTAACATTTATAGGTAAAGTTGATCCAGGGAATATCCGATTGCCTCTCTGGGGATCAGGAAGGAATTTTTTTTCCTGCAGAAGCAAATTGGATCATGCTTTGCTGTTTTGTTTGCCTTCCTCTGGATCAACTGTGGGTGTAGGATTATAAATTTTTATTTTTTTTTTTAATGGTTTGAACTGGATGGACTTTTGTCTTTTTTTTCTCCCAGACTAACTATGCATCTATTCACGCACCCAGCACAGTAACTAAAGTAAAATAAGAATATATACATACTTGTGATCGGGAGCTTCCAATCATGTGACTCCTTTGACAGCCAATCACAGCGGTCACCTGATCTAAATGCCCACCTCTGCATCCTCTGGAGGGCAAGTGGTTAATGTTCAGAAAATCAAATGAATATTCTTGAAACTAACATTCTCGGCCGAAAATCTACACATGTATGGCCAGACTTAAGTCCCGTACACACGAAAGCTTTGTACTAACGATCCGATTATCAGACAATCGGTGCTTGTACGAAAATTTTTATACAATTTTCTTATTGTGTATACGGGGCATTAAGCTGGCTATACACATGTAGATTTTCGTCCGAGAAAATTTGTAAGAGAAGTCATACGAAAATTCTTTGCTCAGTCGATGAATGGATGAATGTCGTTTGAAAATTGTCTTTTGCTTTTAACATTCAATTTTAAAATGAATGTAATTTCTGAACAAGAAGCACATACACTGGCCAAAAATTCTTGAGAAAAGTTCTCCTTCCTGCCCCTTCAAATTTTTCTGTCATTGCCGTCGAAAACAAACATCAATTTGACCCCACTAACAGTTAGAAAATCAAACAAATATTCTTGAAATTAATATTCTCGGACGAAAATCTACACGTCTAGTGCCAGCTTAACTTTTAGAATCTGGTTGAAATCTTTTTTGAATTCGGTTGAAATCCTTTTGATTTCGAACGACTTGGAATTTTGTTGAATCAATTTCAAATTCAGTTGAACCAATTTTGAATGTGAACGAATTTTCTAATTTGGTCAAAATGTTTTTGAATTGAATTAAAATACGAATTACCGAAACGAATCCTGAAAACAAATTGAACGAATTTACCAAATTTCACCTAAACTAAATTTGTTAGATTTCAAATTGCAACTAAACACATTTTTTTTTTTGCACGTCTAGTCGGTGAGAACTTATCTGAGAG